GAGGGGGGGGGGGGGTTCAGACTCTCTGATGCCGAGTGCAACGGAAACTGCGCATCCCCCCCACAACTCTCGAATGTGCAAAATGAGAATGAACTTCCCGCTAGAACATGGGCAGATGCGCCCGAAACAGAATGCGCATTTTTTATGGCCCGTTTCTCTCTCTCTCTCTCTCTCTCTCTCTCAACGTCCATATGAGAGAGAGAGAGAGAGAGGGCGTCAGAGTGTGTGACGCCGAGTTTGGTGTGCCAAACTCGGCGTCAGACACACTCTGACACCCTCTCTCTCTCTCTATCTCTCTCGTTCTTCCCCGCCCTCAGCCCCCCGCCGTGCCCGTTTTTTTTTTTCGTTCGTTACTTGTCATTCTCGTCGACGTTTTTTTTTGTTTTTTTTTTTTTTTGCCCCGTGTTTTTGGGAATACCGGTCGTTCGCTGGTGGGTACCCGCCCGATGCGGCGCGTTAATGGCCGCGTCGGCTTTTTCAAGCTGGGCGAGGTCTGGTGGTTTAAGTTTATATGTGCGAAATTGTCAACAGCAATTTGAATTGAGAAAGGGTGAGTCATCATGACTTGACACGGGTTGAAACTGTTTACTCTTTCCTTAAGTAGCAAGGACTTTCAATTTTTCATTCAGATACCAATATGGCGACAGAAATTATACAAGTACAAATCCAGAAATGAGAGAAAAGTACAAAAAAACAAAAAGTAGTACGGTACCCATACAGTCATAGTACTTCCATACCCATTTTTGGCGTTGACTCGCCCAAAAGTAGGTTTGAGGCCAACCACTCCGCATAGTGAAGCAGGAATGCGAATCGAACCTGTCAGGGGGGAGTCAGAGAGACATTAAGAAAACAAGTAATTCGGCGCGCCGGTCAAAAGCTCTGTAACATGGCACAAACACAGTTCCAGAAAAACAAAAGGGGAAAAAGAAAGCAGAGGCTATATTGTGTGGGTCGGGTGCCACCACATAAGGCGGGTCATAGGATGTGAACCGGATGGTAATATGTGGAATGCCCGGTACCATGCGGGGTAAATAGGCCATGCCACATGAGCCGGGCGGTACAGCTGACCCAAAAAGCTTGTACCCCTTTAACAAGAAAAAGACACAAAACCCCCCAAAAAAGAGTGAGTGTGTTGAGTAAAAGCATACCCTAAGAAACGACTACATGCGAACACGCTCTAAAAAATGATTGTGTGAGTGTGAGCATGCCCTCAGAGACTACTATGTGTTGAGCATGCCCTCAGAATGGCTATGTGTGAGCATGCCCTCAGAACGGCTATGTGCGTGTATGCCCTCAGAGCTGGCGATGTGTGAGCGTGCCCCGAGAAATGACTATATCTGACCATGTCCGAAGAAACCACTCACCCCTACAGGTCCCCACAGGCCTAAACACGGACCTGAGCTCGACAGTCAGGGCATACTCACCACGACTTTTTCCACTTCTCTGTGGAAGTAATTGCGGTCAGGTCCATCCCCGCCGTGTTGGGAAAGCGGTCTTCCCTCTTTCTTCAACCCCAACCGTTGACATGGCTTCAGCTCAAGTCCTGCTCAAAATGGGGTGAGCTCCACGGGATTCCAGCTCATAATGTGGAAACCTGTACAAACATATTTCATGTCTTGGAGCATGCTTGCTACGTACTTGTATTCGAATGTGAGGTGTGAGGTGTGAGGTGTGAGGCATGTGAGGCCCGTGCCTTCCACTTTCATCCCTGGGCATCTTTTCACAGAACGACAAACATGCAGCCAGCTGGGGGGGAGCAGAAGAAACAAGGCGACCAAAATTACGGGCAGAAAATTCCGCGCCTGCTGAGACGCGGCGGGATTTGAGCTACTGACACTGAAACACCGAATCCGAAAGAAAAAAAGGCGAGCTGCAAACTGGCACCCTAACATGCAAACTGGAAAGGCAAATCTCGTTACCAATACATCGTTCTGTCCACATGCATTGTAGTCGTATTACTTCGATTAAGTTGCTTTGTTAAAGGCGCATGGGGAGGGACGGTAGCGTCACCGCCGCTCCGGTAAGCGCTGCACCGCTCCACTAAGCCGCACGCCCACGCAACCGCGTTCCGTCGCGCCAGCAAGCAAACCAACCGTGCTTTCGACACGCGTGCACTTTCGCGCGTCTTTTCTTCCCATTCAAACTTTCGAGACGAGAGAGAGGCAATACAAGAACGGATTACTTGAAAACACGACACGCCACGCCTCCAGGTGTGGCCCCCAAGCTACGAAGAGGACAAAAAACACAAAGGAAGAAGGGAGGGGTGGAGAGAGGGTTTCAAAGGTTAGTGAGCCCTTTCTATTGATAGGAAAGAACAAGGGTAACAGGAGTCGAAAGATGGAAAAGTTCGAAGTAGAGATTTTCCCGCCTTTTTGAATTCTGAGGTGAAGGGAGCAGGAGGGGAAAGGGGGAGAAGCCTCGTCAGGCCACGCCCCCGGGCGTATCCGAGCGGAAGAGCTCAATCGAGGAAAAGAGAGGATTCCGGCGGAGTGAGAAACGGAGGAAGACCAAGAAGAGGAAAAGGCGAAGGGCAAAGACGGAAAGTACCGGAAAGCGAATGAGCGTACGACAACTCTCATGATACTCAACTAAGAAAGTGGAAGCGAATGAGTGTACGACAACTCTCATGATACTCAACTAAGAAAGTGGAAAGACAGGAGAAGAGGAGAGGGGGAGGTGCTGAGACACGGGGTGGTACACTCTTCTATTAGAGGAAAGAGAACACACAAGACAAGAGAGAAGTCGGCGCCAGGACACTAACAGAGGGAAGATCCAAACATCTACAGGCACCGTCATCACTACCGCCTACAAGGTCAGACCAGCCCGCCACAAAAGCCAGGGTAAGAATCATCCTTCCAACTAATGCCCAGCCCCTGATCACGCACTCGACAATGAGAAGAAAGGGGGGACAAAATTCAAGAGGAGGAGCTGCGCTCAACCATCGGGAGAATACAACAGCGCGACATAGTACCATAGCTAGGCTTGGGTCGACAGGGAGAGGAGCCAGTCCGATGCTTGAAGAGTTGAGTCCGTAGCAGTAGACGCGATAGAACAGAACTGACCTGCCAAAATCTAGAGTCAGAAGGGAGCAAGGAGACAGGAGCCATAGAACATAATTTTCTAACCACGACATAAGACAGTAACATCCGCACATCCGACACGATACACTGACATAACACACCCTCACCACCCCCTCTCTCCCCACAACCAAATCACCGCATACCTTCCATCATACCCGTGACAAACCCCAGCAGCCTAACACCCAAACAATAATCGCCCCCCCACTCCACCACCGCACAAGACAAGCTTCACATCACTCCATTCACCAGCACACAGAAGTTCCACTCAACAACCTACCCTCTCCCATCCCCCCCCCCCCCCTCTCCTCCTCCTCCTTTTACACATTCTCAGTCTTCCCTCCAAGAGCAAGGGTCTACCTTTCCTGCCGGACTAAACATTAGGACTTGCATCAACACCCGCTAATTATTACTCCTTTATCACCCTATTACCATCACATCCCCCTCCCTGTGACAGACCTCCAAAACACTCCTTCCCCAACCCTCCATCCCCAGCGGACAAATCCTCCCCCTTCCCCATTCACCCCCCCGACAGCCGTCCCCCCACCACCGCCCCAGCCATCCCCACTCCCCCAAGAAGGAGGTACCACCAGCACCGTAGTGAGCAAGGATCCCTTTAATATTATTAACCTTATTAACTTATCTATACTCTTCTTAAAGGGAGTAGCGGGTCTCGCGTAACGCGTCCCGCTGAGACCTTTTTCCCGCGTGGGCCCGGCGCGGTTTTTTGTTTGCGGCTGTCTTTTTTTTTTTTAGTTTTGTGTTGAGAGGTTCGAGTCCGGCCGTTTCTCGGATTCTTCTTTTGCCTTTTCGTGGCGGGCGACGATAGAAACGAGTCTAGCAGTGTACATTCCCATGTTCTAGCGGAAGATTCATTCGATTTTGAGGTTTTTTGTTCGCGGCCGTCTTTTTTTTTCCGTTGTTTCGTGGTGAGAGGTTCGACTCTGGCAGTGTATATTTCCATGTTCTAGCAGTTCGCGGCCGTCTTTTTTTTTTTTGTTTCGTGGTGAGAGGTTCGACTCTGGCAGTGTATATTTCCATGTTCTAGCGGTTCGCGGCCGTCTTTTTTTTTTTTGTTTCGTGGTGAGAGG